AGAGCCACCCCGAAGACGGCGACGACGTCCAGGGGGCTCAGACGGCCCAAGAAGCTTACCAAACTGATTAAAATGTGTAATTGGCTGAGGCCGCGCAAGCGGTCCTTACGTTTACAATCAGCGTACGGAAAAGGTGCGAGACCACTGCTTCTAGAAAGTTCAAGCTCAAAGTTGCGAGAATCCTGGAGTCCGGAAAAAGTTTGGATAAAGTTCGGCGGCGAACACGCTCCTCATATCCAGGGCGCGTGTGAATTTTGTACGTACATGCCTGATGACATGTCGAATTTGTTCCGAACTTGGTTCCAACCTTTTTTACACGTGTCCGAACTTTGGAACTCAGGTCGAACTTGTTTCGAGCCTTTGTAACAAATAGATTCAGAATTCTGTTAAAACATTTGAACTGTTTGCGGTTTCCTCTCTGAACTTTCGAAGTTGTTTTGCATCATTGTTTCCCTTGGTGTCCGAGCTCGAATTTCTTATTTTCCCCCCGCCCGAACCCAAGCCCTAAACTTCAATTGCGTTTCCAGGAAAGCCCATATCTCTCCCCATCAGCACGACAATTACAAACTATAAGGCCCCCAAAATGTCCCAAGCAGGTTCCAAGAGGACCCCGGCGAGTGCCCCAAGAGGCCGAGATCATAGATGTTCTGTAGGTGTTTGAAGGATTTGGTCGTTCTTACCGCTTCGGGCTTCCAACGCTCCTAGACGGTTCAGGAGGCGCCCAAGACCGCCCCGAAACGGCCCAATAGAGAACCAAGAAAGCCCCAAGACGGCGTCAGAGACCTCTCGGGGGCCCCTAAGACTGCCCAAGAGGCCCCCTAAGACTGCCCAAGAGGGGCCCCAGAGCGACTCAAGAGGGTTCCGAGAGGGGGAACACGAACCCACAATTCCAGCTTTCCGTTCCCCCAGACCCCGAGGAGGCCCAAAGAGGTGCCGACGAGGCGCCTCGAGGTTCCCAAGAGGCCCCCCTGGAGGCCTCCAAGAGGCCCGAAAGAGGCCCCACGAAGCCCCAAAATGGCCCCCGAGAGGCTTCACAGCCGTCTTCGACGAGGTTCCCGAGAGGCCCCCCACGAGGTACCAACGAACACCCAGGGGGCATTCGACACACAGCCCAGGTACCGTGCCGGGATGGTCCGAAGGCTTATATGCTTACACATATATGTAAATAGATGTATGTGTGTATGTACGTATGTATGTATGTATGTATGTATGTATGTATGTATGTATGCATGCATCGTTGTAAACGGTACGTCCAGATAAATCGTAATGAAAAATAGTATGTGTGTTTTATGTTTGTTTAAACGGGCGTGCACAGCTGTAAATATGTATATGTATGTGTAGTTGTATGTACATTTGAACTTGCATATGTGCGTAAGTTTGTACTGATATATATTATGCATGTTGGGTAATTGTATATACCTACATTTATACACAACTCGATCGAGAACTGCTCATACGTACATATCATGTTAGTATGTATACACATAGATACACATATACACGGAAGGTCCCAGCCCCGGGGCACCGGCCAATGCGGAACCGAACTCGGGGCACCCTAGTTCTCTCTGATCCCTTTTTCAGCCCCAGACGACGCATCGTAGAAGCCCCCGAAGACCTTTTTACACGACTTCTGGGTTACCATATCAAATGGCGGCAGGTCCCACGACCAACCGTCAGAAAACTCCCGAGTCGACCTGGCAGCACCCAACGGCAATCTGCGATGATGGATCTTCGAGCGCGACTAAAAGCGAAGCGCGCGCGATTATGGTTGTTGTATCATTTGCACGTCTGCGCTGGTGTCTTTCTATTTCACCTCCTTCCCTAGCAATCTCGAATTTAAGATGTCCACTTGTGTTGGATATGTACCTTTGTGCTGTACGCCCTGCCAAGGTTCCAAGTACGGGCAGTCCATGGCCGTTAACCTGGGGTTGTTCCCTGTAGTTTGGCACAGCCAGCTCGCTGTTTGTTCCTCTTTCTTCTCCCCTCCCTCCTCCTCCTCATCCTCCTCCTCTTCCTCTTCCTCCTCCTCCTTCTCCTCCTCCTTTCCCTCCTCCTCCTCCTCCTTTTCCTCCTCCTCCTCCCAAGGGGAACGTCAATGGCGCGGCGGCTGCCCTGGGCACGCCGAGACGTGGAGGCCTGTGCTCCATGGCTTCCTTGCAGGAGCACGCAGTAAACATATACACCGATATATATATATATACACATATATATATATATATGCATGATGCTCGAGTGGTCTCACCGACTGATAAATTTAGCAACAGATCGGTCTCACGACGATGGCTCTCACGACCTCCCGACATAATCATCCGTTTGCTTAGCGGTCTATCGGCAACAGTACTTCGATCGGTTTCATCATCTACCTATCGATTCCATGAGCACGCGTCATGTCGGTTCACGACCTACCCTTCGGTCTCCTTACCGATCGGTTTGGCGATGTATCGGTCTCACGTTCAACTCGTTTATTCATGTCACCATACAGTTGCCAATATACATATGCTGGTCGCACCATCTGTTCTCGAATTTCGAATACATATACGTATATCTGTCGGAGGTGAGGGGGTGAGATCAAAGTGGAACGGAGAGCCCCCCTACCGGGAAATCGGTTTCGGTTTCGTGTTCGTGCGTGCCGTGCGTGCGGGCGAGGCGAAGCTGCGTGGGCCGGCGAGAAGAAAGTCTCCTCTGTCTGAGGCGCGGCCGGACCAAATGTTCCCTTTTCTGGGGGCCGGTGCCGCGCGGTGTCCCGCCTCCGGCTGAGGCGCGGCCGCACCAAATGTTTGTTTTCCGGGAGCCGGTGTCGCGCGGTGTCCCGCCAGTGTCCCGTCAGTGTTCCGATGATGATGATGATGATGATGATGATGATGATGATGATGATGTTGACGATGTTGATGATGATGATGGTGTTGGTGGTGATCATGATGGTGTCCCGATGATGATGATGATGATGATGATGATGGTGAGATGTTGTTGATGGTGATGATGGTGTCCCGATGATGATGATGATGATGATGATGATGATGATGTTGACGATGTTGATGATGATGATCATCATGATGATGATGGTGTTGGTGGTGATCATGATTGTGTCCCGATGATGATGATGATGATGATGTTGTTGATGGTGATGATGGTGTCCCGATGATGATGATGATGATGGTGATGGTGGTGATGATGATGGTGTCCCGATGATGATGATGATGATGATGATGTTGACGATGTTGACGATGTTGATGATGATGATGATGGTGGTGCTGGTGGTGATCATGATGGTGTCCCGATGATGATGATGTTGTTGATGATGATGATGGTGTCCCGATGATGATGATGATGTTGATGATGATGAAATGATGCTGAGATGATGTTGATGATGATGATGATGACGATGGTGTCCTGATGATGATGATGGTGATGATGATGATGGGGTTGATGATGATGCTGTTGATGATGATGGTGAGGATGATGATGGTGTCCCGATGATGATGCTGATGTTGATGATGATGACGATGATGGTGTCCCGATGATTATGATGATGAGGATGATGATGATGAGGTGATGATGATTTTGCCGATGATGGTGACGATGGTGATGATGACGATGGTGTCCCGATGATGATGATCATGATGGTGGTGATGGTGATGGTGACGATGATGATGGTGTCTCGATGATAATGATGGTGATGATTATGTTGCTGATGATGATGGTGTCCCGATGGTGATGATGATGTTGATGATGTTGTTCACGATGATGATGAGATGACGATGATGGTGAATGATGATGATGATGTCCCGATGATGATGATGTTGATGATGAGGGTGACGGTGATGGTGTCCCGATGATGATGATGGTGGTGATGATGTTGTTGATGATGATGAGGTGGTGATGATGGTACCCCGATGATGATGATGTGGATGACGTTGATGACGATGATGTTGATGATGATGATGACGTTGATTGTGAGATCGATTGTGATATCGATAGTCACATCGATAGTGAGACCGAATGTGAGATCGATTGTGAGATCCATAGTGAGATCGATAGTGAGATCGACTCGGAGATCGATAGTCAGATCGATTGTGAGATTGATCGAATGAAATAGACCGAGTGAGATCGATTGTGAGATCGATCGAGTGAGATCGATCGAGCGCGACCGATAGTGAGATCGATAGTGAGATCGATAGTGAGACCGATCGAGTGAGACGTTGGTTCCTCCCCCCCCGAACCTCCTTATCACCCGAAGGGTGGTCGTATAGGTATACACCCACGTATACATATGCAGATGAGTGTGCACCGACACTGTTCTTAGTAATGGTATTGTTAATTGTTTGTCTGCCAATAGACAATGGGACACCCACGGCGTGGCACAAATCCTGGGACAACCAAGGCGATTCACCGACGGGATAACCACGGGACAGCCACGGGAAAAGCGTGGGGCAACCGCCGGGCCACCGCGGGACGGGACGTTTTTTTAATACAAGTTGGCCCTAGCCTTGGCACGCACATAGTCACCCTCGCACAGCTTCTCTTCGCGCGCACGATACGAACATTGGCCGAAGCCGATTGCCCAGTCGGGACAACTTCGTTCTCACCCCCAACCTCCGATGGATACATAAATGTACATAGGCAGGCATATGTACATAAGTGTTTCCAGCTCGATCTGTTCTTCGCCGCAGCCATTTTGGCACAAATCGTGTTTGGTTCTCACAGGTTGCAACGTAATGTTGGGCGTCCAGGCGCGCTCACAGTCTCAGTGGTGAGGTGTCGCCTGCGGCGCTCCAAGGCGCCGCTGTGGTCATGGCGTCAGGAACTGTTCCTCAACGGAGGAACGAGTACAGCCGCGGCCGCAGCGTCGAGGAAGCGTTTCTATTCGTCAACCCCAAAAGCGGAGGCAACACAGGCCAATTGTTCTTGAACGTGCCGCAGCCTTTCGATGTGCCATTGTCCGACCGGACGGTGTCGTTGCGCATCTTCAGCATGTTGGATGGGACAGTTGGGAATAAGCCGGGGTTTCACGAGCTGGTTAAGACCTGAGAGCCATTGTTGTCAGGAAGATGTTTTCCCGTGCAGTCGATGTTAACGCGTAAGGTCCCCAAACGACTGCACAAATCACAACGTGTACGTTAAAGTCGATGTTTCAAAAAAAAGCGTTGCGCAGTTTATTAGTAGATTTGATGCTCTGGGTATGGTTAACATTGCATACAAAATGTTCGTGAACGCCCACACTCACATGCCAGTCATCGTGGAACTTCGACATTGAAGGGGACGGCATTGAAAGGGCGAGAGGAAGTGACGTCGGAGGGGTGCGCCGACGATTTTTGAGGTTACGGTTGTCGAGGGTTGTGGGAAGGCAACTTCTAGACAAGATTGGCTCTCACAAGACGCTGTCTGTCCAGGGTGGCCCTGAGCACGTCAAGGTGATAGTCGGCGGGGGTGACGGCACCATCATGTGGGTCGTGCAGGAGGCCGAGAGGCACGGCATTGACGTCTTCCAGCGGTTGCACATCGGGATCGTGCCCCTCGGCACGGGCAACGATTTCTCTCGAGCTGCGGGGTGGGGCGGCAAGAACCCCCCGCAGTCGATGCTGGAGAACGACTGCAAATACCTTCGCAAGTTGGTGAGGTCTTGGAGCAGAGGTAAGCCAGACTTGCATGACGTGTGGCATGTGAAGTTGGTTGTCAACGACGAGGCAGGCAAGATCGTCAAGGTTGCTAGCGATAAGAGTGAAGCCATCATGGATTGCAAGGTCATCGAGTCGCCAATGCTAAACTATCGAGTGGCCTTCGGCACATCTTGCCACCGTGCCCAGATTGTGGGCAGGAGTGTTCTTGGATGCGTCATGGGGCTCTTAGGATGCTTCTTGGAGGCCGCTTGGCGGCCTCGCCGGGCATCTTGTACGCCTCTGGGGGCCTGTCGGGTGCTTCGTCGCGGTCTCGGGAACCATCTAGGCACCAGAAGGCTTCCCGGGGCCAGCTCGTGTTCCCCCCTCCAGGGAGGGCCGAACGGATTGAAAAACAAGGTGCTTCCATATGGCCCAGCTTCTGGAAGTCCCTGCAGTAATACCCAGAAGCGCCCGCAACTCTGGGCTCTGGAAGCTTCCTGAAGCGCATTCTTCACAATACTGAAGACAGGGCACTCGAAGGGATCTGATGGCAATCCATTCCGGCGGACTTGTCTGTCGGCCAAGACTCCGAGGCAGGCTTCGACTTCGAAAAGAACCGGCACAAGTCGCAGTGCGGCAACATCCTGCAGTACGCCTTCTCCGGCCTGAAAGTGTCAGCCGGATTCGGCCGCGACACCATCAGAGATGTCGTGCAGGGCATGTACCACGGCGAGGACACGGACGGAGCCCCCATCTTCGGCAGCAAATCACGGGAGCCTGATATACCCTCTCAATTCCGCCTGTAGCGCCGATTAGCGTCGATTCGCGTCTGGAGTCGATAACATAGCGCCGATTCAGCGTCGAGTGGCGCCGATTCTGCGTCAATCCAGCGTCGACTGGCGTCGACTCGCAAGAGCCGGCAAGATGGTATGGGAGGCGCCCCCGCGAGTTGCCACCGAGCCCGTCTTCTGCACGGACGAGGACGAGCTGAGAGAGAAGGGCGCCCCGAGGCTCCGCAGAGACCCGCACATCCTGCTGGTCATGAACATCAAGTCCTACGCTGGGGGCGCCGCCCCGCGCCTGTGGCAAGCGTCGACGCTGCGGTACGGCGTCGACCCGCCCAGGGACGGCGACCTGCTGAGCCAGCCCTCGCACCCAGGGGACGAGAAGCTGGACGTGCTCACGCTGAGGTGTCGAAGGAGACAAAAACAGCACGAGCACAAGCTCTTGGCGCTCCGCGCGCCCCCCCCCCAGCGCCGACTCTGGCGCCGCCCCTGGCTGGGGGTCCAGCGCAGGTCCGAGAAAAATCCGCGCAGAGCGCCAAAAGTTTATGCTTATGCCTCTTTTTCTCTTCTAAGGTACGCGGCCAGAGTAATCACCGGCAGTCTCGTCGGCGGCAGACGAGTCTTCTCTGGAGCTCCGCTGTATTTTGACTTCCACGAGTGGTCCGACGCGGACAACGTTGGCTTTTTCAACATCGATGGAGAGTACTACAAGGTTGTTAATCCTAAGTCGCTCAGCGTTACGCACGGTGGCAAGTTGCAGGTCCTCCACTCGAAGAGCTCCGCGGCCCACCAGCACCACGCGCACCCAGACGAGGTCGAGGACGACAGCGAGTCCGAGGACGACGTCGCGCACACCACCTCCCAGTTCCAGTGGCTGGACTGTGTACGCTGGGGGATCGATTCTCCCCGGTGACGCCCAGCGAGCGGAGCGCTCCCCAGAGAATATGTGCAGCAGTCCTTGTACTGCCTTCCAACAAGGGGGAAGGGCGGCGTCGCGTTCGGGGGTTGCGCCGTATGTTTGGCGCTTCGCGCATCCCCACCAGCCCATCCAGAAACGATGCCCGGACAAGTTGCCTCGATCGCCGAAGTGTCGGGATATGCTGCAGAGCCGCGAGGACGGAGAAGATTTTTTTCTCTCTCTCTCTCTCTCTCTCTCTCTCTCTCTCCCTCTCTGTATATATAAAAAGAGAGAGAGATAGAGAGAGATTATCTCTCTCACTCTCTCTCTCCCTCTCTCTTCTCTGCGTATCTCTTTCTCTCTCCCCCTTGTGTTCCCCGCACAGTGCTTGCACCGTGTGGGGTCTTCCCTCTGCTGCCAAAGGGCCCGGGTGGGTCTGCCGAGCCTTCGCCCACGAGCGGCGGGCGAGGGCGCCTCGTGGGCGCCCCGTGCGCTGCGTGGGTGTCTGCCGAGGTCTCGTCGGGCGGGCGGCTCGCGGGCGCTTCGTCGGGCGCCCCGTGCGCTGGGCGGGCGCGGCGAGGCTGCGCCCGGTGGGCGCCAGCGGCTCGTCCCCGACGTGTTCCCTCCCACTCCTCCTGCTCCTCCTCCTCCTCCTCCTCCTCCTGCTCCTCCTCCCTCCTTCTCCTCTCCTCCTCCCTCCTCTCCTCCTCCTCCTCCTCCTCCTCCTCCTCCTCCTCCTCCTCCCTCCTCCTCCTCCTCCTCCTCCTCCTCCGTGCGCTGGGGGGGGGGGGAGGGCGCCTCGCGGGCGCCACGGGGCGGGCCCGAGGGCGTGGCGCAGGCCTTCGGGGACCTCGTGGACGTCAGGGGCGGAGCAGGCGGCCGGCAGGCCTGCGGCTCGCCGGCAGAGGGAGCTAGACTTTAAGTCGGGCCTGTCCCTCTACAGTCGGGTATAGCCAGGACCCCAGGTAAGGGGACCCGGTTAGTGGTAGGGCCCAGGAGCCCCTGAATTGGCCAGAATCACTACACCAGGTCTGCCGCAGCTAGTGTTTTTTCGGGTGACGGCAGGTCCGCTTAGTGGAACGGGGCGGGCGGGCGTCCCCCGGTACACATCACTAAACCAGGTCCCACTGAACCCAGTTCTCCCAACGCCCGCTACAGGAGGCAGATCCGGAAATGATCAAAACATCGTCTGGGGACGATGTTTTGATCATTGCTTTCGTACTTGGGGGAGCTTTTCTGGGGCGCATTAACAATAAAAAATGAAAATAAAACCACCTATTCTTTCAAAAAACAAAAACAAAAACTTCCTCCAGGGTCCCCTCTGTATGGGAGACAGGCCCGGCCCAAAGCTGGGCTGCAGTCCGGCGTGCGTGCGTGGGCCCAGGAGGCGCGGCGCCGCTCGGGCCCGCGGGGGGGGGCCCGCGGGCGGGCCCGAGGGCCTGCCCGGGCGGGCCGGCGGAGGGGGCCCAGTGCCGGCAGCCTGCGAGAGCATGGGGCGTGGGCCGGTTCTGAGTCGGGCTTGTCCCTCTACAGGAGGAAAAGTCAAGAAGGGTCCAAAGATAGTCTGGGGGCGATGTTTTTGGGGTATTGTTCGCCCTGGTTTTGCGTATTTGTTTGGCAATGTCTCACTCTTCGTTCAGCATCCGCCTGTAGGGGGACATGCCCGACCGAAGGTCAGGTCGAAGGAGGAAACCAAAAAAACTAAAATTAGTCCGCATAGCTTGCACCGCGTAGCTTACATCACATGGGTCGCGCCACAGACATCGCAACGCAGGGCTTCCACCACGTAGGTTATGCCACATAGCTTCACCCGCCCACACATCCACATTGCAACGACCCGCTGCTTAGGTTCCAAACTGGAGACAGAGGGAGAGTGGCAGAGAAAGAGGGAAAAGAAGAGAGAGAACAAAAGAGAGAGAGATAGAGAGAGAGAGAGCACAAAGAGAGAGAGAGAGAGTGAAAGAGATCCGTGATCGTTTCGAACGAGAAAGAGGAGTAGGGAGGAGAGTGATGATGATGATGATGATGATGATGATGATGATGATGATGATGATGATGATGATGATGATGATGATGATGATGATGATGATGATGATGATGATGATGATGATGGAGCGGAGGAGGAGCAGCACCGGGGAGGAGGGCGAGCATAATCTCAAGTGAGGACAAGGGGATGGAGGTGAGGAGGAGGAGGAAGAGGAGGAGCAGGAGTAGGAGCAGGAGGAGAAGGAGTGATAGGAGGACGACGAGGGGGAGGAGGAGGAGGAGGTGGGAGGTGCAGGAGGATGGTGCAGGAAAGAGATAGCGGCGACGACGAGAAAGACGACGGCAGGGGTCAACCAACAAGGCCTCCGCGGGCATTTCGCTCTGGGAGCCTGTTGTAGGCCTTTTTGGACCATCGCGGGGGCATTTTTACACAGAGGAAGGTTACGCTTTCGTTTTCCGTTGCGTTTTCAGGCGAGTGAGAATCGGCGTAGTGACCGCCATTATGGTGAGCACGGTGGATGGACGGCTTCATGTTGGTGATGATGGATGAGCATGGCGGAGGGGATGGCAGCGGTGCAGAGGTCGTCGGGGAGCAAGTTATATTGGGCAAGACAATCACCCTGGCACTGCGGGGAACGCGCGGGGACCTGCAAAAATTGCCAGGAACTTGGCGGGACTTCCAGCATCCAGCAGATACCGAGCGGTTTATCAGGAGGCCTCTGTCCAGAATCACGATTTCGATGCCGGTTTGGAGAGCTTCGCAGCGGGAAAGCAACACAAGCCGCTGGAAAAGTATGCGGAAACCACCGTGAACCGTCGGAAACCGATTGTTTCAAAGAAGCCCCAAAACATAATCGACATGTTAGACACTAACTCAAAACAGACGCCCAATCCCAAAAACGCGAGGGCCAAAACAGAACGCCGGCTGCTCGAGACTTCAGGGAGGGAGATTTGGGGGCCTAGGGTTTTACCAGGGTGACAACGACGAACGCAAAACATACCCCGAAAGCTTTGGCCGATCTTCGGATCCTCTGTGAATCCGCGATTTTGGGGTTGGGGATGTGTTTTGTTCTTGTACAGTTAGACTATACTCCTGGATCAGCTTTTTTATATATATATATATATATATATATGAATTGATGGCGGGGTGACCAAGGCGGGGTGCCCCCCCCGCCGTCCGGGAACCCGTGACTCCGCCCGCCCCGACCGAGCGGTTTCCCAGAGTGTTGGTGGGGGGCACATCGCCTGCGTCATCCCGCCATCGTCGCCGACCACTGTGTGCCGCTGTTTGCCGCCATCCGCCAGATCCGCCGCCATCGCCATCACCACAGCGTCAGCAGCCTCGTCATCCATCGACGCTGGCATCGCCATTGTCTCCCTGCTTGCCGTCGCCACCGCCGCCTTCGCCCTTCACGTCCACGTCGCCATGGTTGTCATCGCCGCGGTCTTCATCGTCGTCGCGCATGGTCGACCAAGAAAGTGACTTGCTCGGGCCAGAACAGAAATGTCGCACACCTTCCCATGCGTTTGCGAATGTGGTGGAGGCCCGACGAAAACCGATAACTGAAACGTTATTATTCCCCAATCAGAGTTTGCCTCTGTAAGGGTCCTAGCGGATTCATATGGTTAGGTGAGGTTTGTCACCGATTTCCGCGGCCCGCCCGGGTGCTTTATAGCTCTATAGCCCTATAGCCCTAGAGCCCTAGAGCCCTATAGCCCTACAGCCCTAGAGCCCTATAGCTCTCTAGCCCCATAGCCCCATAGCCCTATAGCCCCATAGCCCCATAGCCCTATAGCCCTATAGCATCATAGCCTTATAGCCCTATAGCTCTATATATGCCTATAGCCCTTTAGCCCTATAGCCCCATAGCCCTATATCCCTATAGCCCTGTAGCCCTATGGTCCTATAGCCCCATAGCCCCATAGCCCTGTAGACTCATAGCCATATGGCCCTATAGCCCCAGAGCCCCAGAGCCTCAGAGCCCCATAGCCCTATAGCCCTACAGCCCTATAGCCCTATGGCCCTGTAGCCCTATAGCTCAATAAACCTATAGCCCTATGGCCCTGTAGCCCTATAGTTCCATAGCCCTATAGCTCCACAGCCCCATCGCCCTATAGCCCAATAGCCCCATAGCCCTATAGCCCTAAAAGATGTTGATTTGGGCTTTTCTCCGGTGTCATTGTTTGTTTGGATAATTTCGGAAGCCGTTCCGGCTCTCTTGGTGCCCTCCTCTTGGTGGCAGTGGTGGCCATCTTGGGGCGATCATGGAGGCCATCGGACAAAGACTTAGTATCGTTCGGACGTGTGTTTTTCCTCGGCGAGAACCATCGTGGAGCATATGGAGTCATCCTGCGAAAAAGCACACGCACGAAGTCGAAAAATGCATAGGGAATAGACGTCCGAGCGGTGGCGAGAAGAGGGTCGGCACTTACTTGTGTCACCCTTCTCGAGCTTGAAAGGTCGCCTCTTGGGGCCTTTTCCAGGGCGTTTCTTGGACCGCCTTTGCGTCGTCATGGGTTCCGTGTACGGTTGTCTTGGGCCATGTTGGAGCCACGTTGACGCTTCAAAAACCCCAGGCGACAAGGCAAATAGGTTGTGCCGTCTTGGGGCGGCCTTGGGGCCTTTTCGAGGCATGACGGAGGCCACCTTCGATATTCTTGAACCAGAGTGAAGGCATCATTGGATGTTGTCATGCCCTCTTGAAGCCATCTTGGAACATCTCGAATTCTACATCCCCGCGCCCCCCCCACCCTTTGTGGAGGCCCAGGGGATGGGGGCAGGGGGAAGGGTCAAGTTCCCAGCGGATACGCCGCAAGCTGTCTCGGTTCCTCCCACCCGCCCTCCCGCCATGTGGGCAGCATTGGAGCTTCAGCAAAAGCAAAGGTTGCCATCAGACGGACAGTCGTCACGAACAAGTGCGGACACCAAGCGCGCCACGTTCGCGAGGTGCGCCGCGCGTGCGAGGCGCGACAAGCGCCACGGGTGCGCCAGGTGACCCAACGGCCCAGGCGTGCCAGGCAGGCCAGGT